CCGGATATGTCCGGGAAAATCCGGATGTATGATAACCCTAGCCCTGACTGCACTGGGGGCAGGGCCGGGTTCTGATCTCAGCCCCCCCCGGGGTCAATCCGTAGTCAGCCCTGACTGCACTGGGGGCAGGGCCGGGTTCTGATCTCAGCCCCCCCCGGGATCAATCTGTAGTCAGCCCTGACTGCACTGGGGGCAGGGCCGGGTTCTGATCTCCTTTGCAATCTCTCCAGGTTCTGGCATTCTCCATTGAGAGCCTAAAGGAGGCTAAAGGAGGATACAGTGTGGAGAGAGAAAGAGAGACAGAAGTGAGAGGATGCTGGGTGCAAAGACCCAGATAAACTGATGCTGAGGGACAGAAAGGCAGGGGAATGTAATCGATGGGGACTAAGGTGGAATGTTCTCTTTGTTTCCTTAAATATAATTAATCCTTTTACAAGAGAAATTGTCTCGCTTCCTCCTGGGAAAGCATGTGATGTCTATGTATCAGAGGGGTAGCCGTGTTAGTCTGGATCTGTAAAAAGCAACAGAGTGTCCTGTGGCACCTTTAAGACTAACAGATGTATTGGAGCATAAGCTTTTGTGGGTGAATACCCACTTCGTCAGACGCATGTAATGGAAATTTCCAGGGGCAGGTATAAATATGCAGGCAAGAATCAGTCTGGAGATAACGAAGTTAGTTCAATCAGGGAGGGTGAGGTGCTCTGTTAGCAGTTGAGGTGTGAACCCCAAGGGAGGAGAAACTGCTTCTGTAGTTGGATAGCCATTCAGTCTTTGTTTAATCCTGAGCTGATGGTGTCAAATTTGCAAATGATCTGAAGCTGAGTAGTTTCTCTTTGAAGTCTGGTCCTGACGTTTTTTTGCTGTAAGATGGCTACCTTTACATCTGCTATTGTGTGGCCAGGGAGGTTGAGGTGTTCTCCTACAGGTTTTTGTATATTGCCATTCCTGATATCTGACTTGTGTCCATTTATTCTTTTACGGAGTGACTGTCCACTTTGGCCAATGTACACAGCAAAGGGGCATTGCTGGCACATGATGGCATATATAACATTGGTGGACGTGCAGGTGAATGAACCGGTGATGTTGTAGCTGATCTGGTTAGGTCCTGTGATGGTGTTGCTGGTGTAGATATGTGGGCAGAGTTGGCGTTGAGGTTTGTTGCATGGGTTGGTTCCTGAGTTAGAGTTGTTATGGTGCGGTGTGTGGTTGCTGGTGAGAATATGCTTCAGGTTGGCGGGTTGTCTGTGGGCGAGGACTGGCCTGCCTCCCCAGGTCTGTGAAAGTGAGGGATCATTGTCCACGAGGGGTTGTAGATCACTGATGAAGCGTTGGAGAGGTTTAAGCTGAGGACTGTACGTGGTGGCTGCTGCTTCTCTGTCTGTCCCGTGTGTCCCTTGTTCTTAGCTGAAGAAGGGGATGGATATGAAACCGACCACCAGGATTACGGCAAAGTCTGCCAGCAGGGAGGGGAGATTATCCTGTGGGACACTTGTCCTCGTGCCTATCACCTCGTCTGCCTGGTTCCTGAGCTGGAGAAAGCACCGGAGGGCAAGTGAAGCTGCCCTCACTGTGTGAGTCACTGGGGGGTTGGTGTGAAACTGGGTAACTGGGCTGCTGAAAATCAGCTGAGAACTAATGAAACGAGGGTGGTTCTTCTGCAGAG